GGTGGTGGGAGGGTGTGAGAGCATTGGTGGTGGAGGAGGGTGTGGAGGTAGGTGGGAGGGTGAGAGATTGGTGGAGGGAGGGTGTGAGGCATTGGTGGTAGGGAGGGTGAGAGCATTGCAGGAGGAGGGTGTGTGAGCATTGGTAGGAGGGTGTGAGAGTATTGGTGGTAGGAGGGTGAGAGCATTGGTGGTAGGGAGGGTGTGAGTGTATTGGTGGTAGGGAGGAGGGTGGGTGTGAGTGATTGTGGTAGGAGGGTGGAGGTATTGGTGGTAGGAGGAGGGTGTGAGTGCATTGGTGGTAGGGAGGGTGTGAGAGTATTGGTGGTAGGAGGAGGGTGGTGAGGTATTGGTGGTAGGGAGGGTGTGAGAGTATTGGTGGTAGGGAGGGAGGGAGGGTGTGGGAGAGTATTGGTGGTAGGAGGTGTGAGAGCATTGGGAGGAGGGAGGGTGGGTGTGAGGACAGGTAGGGTGAGGGTAGGGAGGGTGAGAGGTGGTAGGGAGGGTGGGGTGAGAGTATTGGTGGTAGGAGGGTGTGAGAGCATTGGTGTAGGGAGGGTGTGAGAGTATTGGTGGTAGGGAGGGTGTGAGAGTATTGGTGGTAGGGAGGGTGTGAGAGCATTGGTGGTAGGGAGGGTGTGAGAGCATTGGTGGTAGGGAGGGTGTGAGAGCATTGGTGGTAGGGAGGGTGAGAGTATTGGTGGTAGGGAGGGTGTGAGAGCATTGGTGGTAGGAGGGTGTGAGAGCATTGGTGGTGGGAGGGTGAGAGTATTGGTGGTAGGGAGGGTGAGAGCATTGGTGGTAGGAGGGTGAGAGCATTGGTGGTAGGAGGTGGAGCAGGTAGGGAGGGTGTGAGAGCATTGGTGGTAGGGAGGTGTGAGAGTATTGGTGGTAGGAGGGTGTGAGAGCATTGGTGGTAGGGAGGGTGTGAGAGCATTGGTAGGGAGGGGAGGTGTGAGAGCAGTGGTAGGAGGGTGTGAGAGCATTGGTGGTAGGGAGGGTGAGAGTATTGGTGGTGGAGGGTGAGAGCATTGGTGGTAGGGAGGGTGTGAGAGCATTGTGGTAGGGAGGGTGAGAGCATTGGTGGTAGGAGGGTGTGAGAGTATTGGTGGTAGGGAGGTGTGAGAGTATTGGTGGTAGGGAGGGTGTGAGGAGTATTGGTGGTAGGGAGGGTGAGAGCATTGGTGGTAGGAGGGTGTGAGGCATTGGTGGTAGGAGGGTGTGAGAGCATTGGTGGTAGGAGGGTGTGAGAGCATTGGTGGTGGGAGGGTGTGTGAGAGCATTGGTGGTAGGGAGGTGAGAGCATTGGTAGGGAGGGTGTGAGAGCATTGGTGGTAGGAGGGTGAGAGCATTGGTGGTAGGAGGGTGGAGAGCATTGGTGGTAGGGGAGGGTGGAGAGCATTGGTGGTGGGAGGGTGTGGAGGAGCATTGGTGGTAGGAGGGTGAGAGCATTGGGAGGGGGGGTGAGAGACAGGTAGGAGGGTGTGAGAGCATGGTGGTAGGAGGGGTGAGGCAGGTAGGAGGGTGAGAGCATTGGTGGTAGGAGGGTGAGAGCATTGAGGAGGGTGTGAGAGTATTGGTGGTAGGGAGGGTGTGAGAGCATTGGTGGTAGAGTGGGTGTGAGAGCATTGGTGGTAGGGAGGGTAGGAGAGCATTGGTGGTAGGGAGGGTGTGAGAGCATTGGTGGTAGGAGGGTGAGAGTATTGGTGGTAGGGAGGGTGTGAGAGCATTGGTGTAGGAGGGTGTGAGAGCATTGGTGGTAGGGAGGTGAGAGCATTGGTGGTAGGGAGGGTGTGAGAGCATTGGTGGTAGGGAGGGTGTGAGAGCATTGGTGGTGGGAGGGTGGAGAGCATTGGTGGTAGGGAGGGTGTGAGCAT